GCCTAAGCCCTAAGCCCTAAGCCCTAAGCCCTAAGCCCTAAGCCCTAAGCCCTAAAGCCCTAAGCCCTAAGCCCTAAGGCCTAAGCCCTAAATTCCAGCTTCCACCTAACTTTCAGCTTCCACCTTCTAACTTCCAGCTCCCAGCTCCCAGCTCCCGCCTTCTAACTTCCAGCTTCCAGCTTCCAGCTCCCAGCTCCCGCCTTTAAACTTCCACCTCAGCACCTTCCACCTCAGCGCCTTCCATCTCAGCACCTTCCATCCCAGCACCTTTCACCTCAGCACCTTCACCTTCCATCCCAGCACCTTCCACCTCAGCGCCTTCCACCTCAGCGCCTTCCACCTCAGCACCTTCCACCTTCGAACTTCCAGCTTCTAGCTCCCGCCTTTACACTTCCGCCTCAGCACTACGCCTTTCATCTTACTCCTTAGCTCGTTCTACCTTGCGAAGAAGTAAACAGTAAATAGTAAATACCTACTCTTATAAATCTAAGCCCCTCCCTCCGAATATTTTCTTACTAAACTCATAGAATAAAATCACCACCACCATTACTTCCGTCCCAAACACCTCCCGGTCATACTTAATAAGCCCATCTTTCAATTTAACCATATCCCCGCTCATGTCACCTAGTCCATACTTCTCCATCACCACCCTTAACTCATTACTTAGCGCTTTCATCTCATCACCCCCCCTCAGGAACGCTACTAAGAAATAGTTTAAGATTCCCCCCCTAGGCAGTCCCCATCGGGCCCCTTAGCGCAGATAATAGTCGGTAATAGGCACTTAAAGCACCCACTATCAGGGAAGAATTGTAGGCCCCTCTGATACGACTTATTAAACTGCCGAAGAATATCGTCGTAGTATTCACACTCAGTAGTCGACGGGTGGTCCTTCCACTCGCTATCATCATCTATATATATATATATCTATCAGTACTCTTTTTCACTGAACCTGGAGATATATATATACTCACCTAGCACGTCCTCGGCCATATCATCCACTAAGCACCCGATACAACACCCATCGTACCACTGAGATATATATATCTTCAGGGCCTCGAGGCGTTTCTTCTGCTGTAGCAGAATGGCCTTAGCCTTCTCAGCTTGCTTAGCTAGTGTCTGAGCCCGACTAAGGCAAAGATCACATAGCCGATCCTCACCCGAGCAGTTAATGCTACTAGCCCTAGGGTTAAAGCGGGTATGCAGTAGCCGCCGGCGGCAGATACCCTCTTGAACCCATTCGTGGAATAGCGTTAGCTCCTGAGAGTCCTTGCTAAGGTCCCCAGACCGCCGATCAGATGGAAGCTTCCCGTCAGCCCTAGTGAGGACTTCGATAAACCCAATAGCCCCAGGGGCTCGAGCAGCACGACCGCAGCCCTGGACGAAATCCGTAAGCGACCAACACCCTTGGAAGTAGATGATAAGGCCCACGTTATCGAAGTTAAACCCCGCCCCTATAGCGCTAGTAGCTGCTAAAATAGGCTTACTATTACTAGTAAAGAGGGCTAAGTTTAAAGCCCTAGCCTCTAAACTAAGCCCTGCGTGGTATGCCGCACAGCTCTCATTATAGTCCTCTGCGAAGCGGTCTACCTGGTTCTTATAAAGGAAGAAACAGATAGCCTGGGCCCTAGGGCCCTCCGGAGGGCTGTTATGCTGGATGAAATCAAGGACCCGGTTATAGGTAAAGCGTAGGGCCGCGTCCTCGCCGCCCTTAGGTGGTAGCTGGCAAACCCCGTAGTAAAGGTTAGGCTTATTGATCGAAGCCCTGATAACCTTTGGCGAATCTGGCAGGCTAAGCCTTAAAATGATACCCTCTAGGGCACTTGGGCTAAGCGTGGCTGTTGTAAACATAAGAGGCCTCCCTAGGGTAGTTAGAACCTTTAGCTTCTGAAAGTCCTTACGGTAGTGGGCGGCCGTATAGATAAGGTGGGCCTCGTCAAAGATAATCCGATCGACCTTAGGCCCAAGCCTCCGGGCCCGGGGGAGGAAGTGCTTATCGGTTACGGTCTCTGCGGAGACTAGCACTAGCTGGGGCCCTTGATAGCTAGAGATCCCTTCTCCTGAGTCTTGCTCCTAAATAGTGGTCCGAAGCCCTATAGCCTTGGCCTTTTTAATAAGATCCTCCCGTAGGCTGACAAGGGGAACCACTAATAGAGTGATCTTACTAGTGCTAAGGCTAGCACTTAGTAAGAAAAGGGTGCTTTTTCCCCCGCCGGTAGGGAGCACAAGGAAAAGACTAGGGTCGAGGTTAAGCACTAGGGCTAGAAGGGCCTCTCTCTGTTCAGGGGACTGGAAGGTTGCCGTAGGAAGCCCTAGGAATTCACGTAGGAGGCTAAGAGGGACGTCGGTAGTAGGATCTAGGGGGAGGGCCCTTAGAACCTTACTATAGTCCTTGAATAGCTGTAGGTGGTCAACCTGCTCCTCGTTGTAAGGCTCGTGCCAAGGGGCCTTAGCTGGAGCTTGTTGGGCTTGTAGGCCCCTAAAGGCCTCTAGGAGTCCAACTGAGACGGTATTACTGCTAGGGCTAGTAGCACTAAAGAGGCGCTCAACACCTGCACCAGTGGCTGGGATAGAGAAAATATCCCGTGCGACCGCTGCAAGTGTCGGAAACCGATACTCATTCTCTTTCCAGAAGTAGCATGGATTAATTAAACTCCGTTCTATATAGGGTTAGATTAGTTAACTTATGATCATGATCATATAAACATACCAGTATTAAGATATCCCTTTAGTTCTTCTTGCCACCCAGTCTTCGGCTGTGGTAGTGGCTCTGGCTGATCCTCTTCGAAGAGACTCATCATCGCATCTGTACTATGCGAGGAGGGCTTTGCCCTCGGAAGTACTTGCTTTTCTGGCTGGCGTTTTGAGTATTCCTCTAAGTGCTTATGAAGAGACGCCTCATACACATCATACCAGGAGGAATCCATGCTATCAACATCACCTGCCCATTCTGGCCCTTTAAAGTATTCAAGCTTATGCTGGGGTGCAAGAATTATACCAATTGCATATAGGCTTCCATGTGCTTGCTCGGTCGCTTTGTAGTATACTGAGAGTTTCTTACTTCCGGCCTCAAGGGCCTTCAGCATAGCCTTTTTCCAAGGCACTTTCTTTCGTCGAAGGCGGGCCTGGGCCTGCTTAAAATGGGTAAACAGTCGGTTATAGACCCGGAATACATCATGTATTGTTGTCGCCTTGATCTTTGACAGGCCAACAGTCCATTTATAGAAAGGCTTTGTGATATGGAGTAAGTATTCGATCTGCCGCCACTCGCTTTTATTTAGCCGGAATTCTGGGCGCTGATGTTCTGCGCAATATCTGTGGTAGCTACCGGAAAGTCGATTGGCGCGCTGGAGCATAAGATATGTTGAATTCCACCGAGTTCGTACATCCTGGATCGGAGTAAGCCTTGGTTCTTCACTTTGTAGATTTAGAAATGCCTCCCGTCGCTGTGGACTGGCATTAATAAAAACCGCGAAGGCCCGTACCTAGTAGTATAGTGGTTAGTATGAAATAAAATTGTAAGAAGGCTTTAATTACTTTACCTTAGCTAGTGTGTAAATGATTCCCTTTTGTCTCTTTGCTTGTTAAAGAAGACTCCCGTTTTCTTCCGACCAGACTGTTGCTGTTTTATCGTTTTTTGGATCAGCCTTCATCAGGCCAAGGAGATCTTTCAGACTTAATTGAATCACATGAGCAAGACATGGAACCCGCATAATCTCGGTGAAATTAGGAAGCTCCATCCGTTCGATTGAATCACATAGACTATCAACCAAGGTCTTATTGTTTGACGCATTATCTGTAGTAATTGTAATTACTCGATTTATAATATTCTGCTGCTGAAGAATCTCAAGGAGAATGTCTGCGAGATTAGAGCCTGTGTGCTGGCCGTGAACTGGCATGAAACCTAGAAGGATCTCATGATAATCCCAGTTGGTATCCATAAAATAGCCTGTGATTGCCATGAATGCCTGTTGGAAGGGTGAAGTCCAATAATTAAGGGCAATTAATAACTTTGCTCCAGCTGGCAGTAGAGAAAGAAGCTTTTGCTGCTCTGTGTGGACGATTGACTGGAGCCGACGCCGCGCGGTCTTTGGTGATAGAAGGGTAAGCTTCTGTTAAGAAAGCTGAGCCTCTGCAATAAGATCTTCGAATTCTTTATGCCGGAGGACCTCGAATGGAAGCCGTGAGTTCGCTATGAATTTGACTTAAGCTCTTTCGAATCGCTGTTGGTCAAAGACCTTGCGGGTAGGTGGGCGAGTGGCCTAAGTGTAAAGAAAATATTAGTATTAGATAGATAGAATATAGAATCAGATTTGTATAATACCGTAAGTTCAAGCGATTGCTGTATATCCTGTTGTATAGACCCCTTTTTCGATGCAGCTATACATGCGCGACTAGATAAATGCGCAGCGAGTGACTTTGAACCGTTTGCTGATGAGGATAGGTGTAAGATTGTTTTTCCACATCTCCGACAGAGTGCCATTGGTTTCCCAGTTTAGAAGTGGGCTACTTGATCAAAGTGTTCCTAAGCGGTAGAGGTATACCTTGCATCAAAGTTCACTTTATGTAGCGGAGGGTATGGGTTTGCACCTGCTGTATGACGCCACCACTCAATAAAGTCGGCTTTATTCATTGAAGTCCAAAGAACCCAGAACTTTTGATGTTTAGGACCGATACGACGGAGGGTTGGAGGAATCGGATTCGGCTCTGTTTAGAGGATTGCAGATTCGGGCCCGCTGTAGATCGGCTGCTGGCTAATTGAATGATCTGGCGTAAGGGGCTCGTCAATGATGCCAATACTATAGACTGAAGAAGGTGGAGGGTTTCCCGCTTGGGAGAACGAAACCTGGGATGAAGGGCCAGCCTCAGCATATAGTTCATATTGAGACATACTTAAATAACAATTTTATCAAAATGGAAGAGGGTATGAAAAGGATATCTCTAAGGCCTACCTTTACACGTAGGAGAGTCGCGTCCTGCTACTAGCAGATTCTAAACAATAAGTAGCGCGACTACATATCACAAATAGGTAATGACCCACTTATTATATATCACTTATTGGTCTATTCGACGGGACTCCCGTGGGACTCCCGTAGGACTCTCGTGGGACTCCCGTGGGACTCCCATGGGACTCCTATACAAAGGGGAAGTTGATAGATTTGGGGGTATCTAGAATCCCCCACAACTTCAAATAGAAAATCCTCACTTTTAAACCTGCTTTATCCTGAAATTCTTTAACAACCATGGAGTAGAGAATAGTAATTCCAAAATAAAAAAAACCAATTCAGGGGTAACGTTTCTTATGGTATAAGAATTAACTATATTTTACTATAAGTCTGTTGAATTTTTACCATTTCAATAATATATAGAAAATGCAGTGTAGTACCTTATGTAAATATATATATTGCTTAACCACTTCTACTAAATACCATGTTTATGTCTCTTTTATACCCATGGGCGATAACAGTCTATTATTCAACTTTTTTTTTTTAAAGGAGGATACTTTTTGATATAGACTTGAGTTATTTATGCACTTAATTGCAGACCATATCATATAAAAAAACGACGTTGGTTAACATTGGAAGTAGGGACGCTCATACACCTGTAAATAACAGTATTTTATCTGATTACTTTGCAGATTTGTGCAGCCGAAAGAGGAAATTCTTGGCAAAGTTATGCTAGCGTGGGACCATATGGGAGTCCCATGAGTCCCATGGGAGTCCCATGGGACTACCAGGGTTATGGGACCAGAATTTTTTTAGTCCCGTGGGAGTAGATGGGACCAGGATATGGGACCAAAATTTTTTTAGTCCCATGGGAGTTGGCAAGGTCTAATCGTACGAAAGATAAAATCCACTTCTGAGTAGGGTATTTATAAGTCTAAAGCTATAGCCTTTTTTTTTTAGCGCTAGAAAGGGGGGAATAGCCAAGAAGTTCACGTGGAGGACCCACAATAAAATATATATCTCCTATAGGATTAAACTTAAAAGGATTGTACGGAGTATATATGGAATCGGTGAATAATCAAATTAAAGGATAAATCTCGATATTGATAACTTGGTATATCGGGACCCAGGGTGTGGAGGATTGGATAACGTGTACCTAAATTTATATTCGTACGATACCTTGACTCTGTAACTCTTGAATCCTAAGCCTAAAACTTCCTACTTTGACTACCTAGTGTATTGTCCCTATCCCCTCACCTAAGCTGCTAGTACCACCAATATACCTATCGTACGATCCCGATCTATACTGCTGTAGCAGTACCACTAGCACCGTTATCGTCATTAGCTTCGTCCGAGTCGGTTAGCTCCTTAACCCGGCTTGGGGGTGGTAGAGGAGCAGACGCCTGCGGGATGTATCGCGGCTCGTTGGAGTTTCGTATATTGCACTGCGCTGTCTGTTCCTTCCACTTATAATTGGCACAGCATCCCTCCCAGGTACCAGGCAATCGTACGACAGATTTACTAAATGGGTGGCCTTAGCGAGACCGATGGCATATGCCTGGGAAACGAACTCCACGAGAAGCGATTAAGAGTCCATTGACGTACGACGGCCGTGCACTGCGGATCTGTCTAGATTAAGAATTAGTGGCTGGTATTAACCTAAAGAATATCAACGTACTTGATCAGCCGAGATAACTAGAGTTCGGTCCTTCTTCATCTTCACGAGGAACTCGTACGACGGCCACGACCAGACCTCGCGCTGCTCTGGGGTACGGCAGAGCTCTCGGAGCGCCGCATTCCCATAAGCAGTCAGTCGGACAATATAGTACTCGGCACCCCCTTCTGCTGTAGTCGCCCTTCGTATAAGGCTGAAGAGAGTCGAAGCGGTAGGAGTAACCTAGGAAGGGTCACTTAGCGTACGAATAAGTGATCCGGGAGGGGGAGGAGGTCCTCCAGGAGGACCAGCACTAGCTGCGGAAGCCATAATGAGATAAATAAGAATGTATAAGAAAGGCTGGATTTACTTAAAGTTATTTCTAGCCAGAGTAGCTAGGCAAAGGTCGAGTTTAAATGTAGTATGGTGAATATAAGCCTAAACCTAGAAAAATGCAAAACCCCTCGCTGACCAGAATAAAAAGCCCATATCAGATAAAGAGCCCTCGTACGAAGTTCCAGGTTCAAAACAAAGACTGGAGAACATGAGAACGAAGCCACAGAAAATATAAAACTCTCCACTAACCAGAATAGAAATCCCACATCATTAGATAAAGAGCCTTCGTACGAAGTCCCAGGTTTAAAATAAAGACTGGAGAATAGGAGAATATCGCCATGGAAAATGCAAAACTCTCCACTGACCAGAATAGAAATCCCACATCATTAGATAAAGGGCCCTCGTACGTAGGCTTGACTGTAAAATAAAGACTGGAGAACATGAGAATATCACCACAGAAAATACAAAACTCTCCACTGACCAGAATAGAAATCCCACATCATTAGATAAAGAGCCTTCGTACGTAGGCTTGACTATAAAATAAAGACTGGAGAATATGAGAATATCACCACAGAAAATATAAAACTCTCCACTGACCAGAATAGAAATCCCACATTCGTATAAAGTCCTAGGTGCAAAACAAAGACTGGAGAACCTGAGAATGAAGCCATGGAAAAATGCAAAACTCCTCCCAGGGCAGAAGAGAAATCTACACCGTTTAATAAACAGTAGTCGTACGAAGTCCCAGGTTCTAAATAAAGTGTAAAGATCATAAGAAATAACTTGTATTTATTGTAACTTACTTGGTTTCACCATAAAGGCTACTTATCCTGAACACCACGTAAAGGTGTAAGTTTATTCAGGTGTCGTACATAGGCCCCGTACGACTGGGTAGGGCATAGGGGAATAAAAAGAAAAGGTATGCTTACTCAGTTAATGATGATGACGTCGTCGTCATCATCCAGGTCGACGGGATTAGCGGCTGTCCTAATGGCTAACTGAGACTGTGGAAGGGGGCTCCGAGCTGGGAGAGCGGCCGCTCTTCGTGTCCTATTCCGGTTACCAGTGCCGTCTCGTACGGAGCAGCGGAATCCATGATCCTGGAACTTGCAGTTACCGTATGCTCCGTCGAAATGCCCCGGTGCACGGGAGCAGATCGGGAATGGGGATGGGCTCCCTGTACGACGGCGCTTATCAGCACACTCATCGCACTCGGTAATAAGCTCCCATCCACGAGATTGTATCAGTAAAGCATTCACGTACGACGGGCGCATACTCGTAAGCTGGGCGCCCCGAATACGGCCAACCATAAACGGGACGTCATGGCCGGTTAAGGTAAGTAAGGCGCGGCCTTCGTCGCTGTGTACGAAACGGGCAAAAAGAGGGCTTCCCACTGGAAATGGAGTCTGTGAAACACCACCTCGAGGACCAGCATACCGTACGAGAGAGTTATTCCCTCCAGTACCTAGGGAGGTCACAGGCCATCTAAATTCAGCTCCAGTCTGGATATACCCCTCATAAAACTCAATCAGCCATTGTAGGGCAGTAGGCCACCCACTAACCGGGTCAATATTGCCATTAACTAACCCCCATAACCTGGTAAACGCAGCCTGAGCTTCGTGTGTGTGAGCTCGTGCCCGAGCATGAGGACTAAGGGGGAGGTTAGGACGGGGGGGGCGGGAGCCAGCAGGGCGAGGCCTAGATCGTACGAAGTGAAGCATTAGTGAATATTCTGATTTAAACAAAGGTCTCACCAGAAGCAGGAAGTAGGATATTGATGCAGGATGATATAGGATATAGCTGCAGGATGAATGGGTTTCGTACAGAGAAGGCATCTTAATGAAAATCAAAATAAAAGTGAAATTTGAGAGGAAGAGAGAGAGAGAGAGAAAGAGAGAAGTGGGAAGAAAACTGAGAATTAAATATCTGCTAGATAACAATAGAGGTGATTACTGAATTAGGTAATATTGTTACCTTATACAGCTATGAAAATAAATATTGCTGCCTAAGGCTATTGTACGAGATATTAACAATATGATAAGGCATGAATAATGGGACAGGGCATTAACAATGGGATAAGCCATGAATATGCCATGGACCTAACAATTGTGACAGTCCTGCCTGGAGCTTAAATCGTACGAGATATCATCAATGGACGATACATGAATAATGGGACAAGCCTTCATTAACGGGACAAGCCTTCATCAATGGGATAAGCCTTCATCAATGGGATAAGCCTTCATCAATGGGATAAGCCATGAATATGCCATGGACCTAATAATTATGACAGTCCTGCCTAGAGCTTAAATCGTACGAGATATCATCAATGGACGATACATGAATAATGGGACAAGCCTTTATCAACGGGATAAGCCTTCCTCAATGGGACAAGCCTTCATCAATGGGACAAGGCATCAACAATGGGATAAGCCATGAATATGCCATGGACCTAATAATTATGACAGTCCTGCCTAGAGCTTGAATCGTACGAGACATCACTAATGGATGATACATGAATAATGGGACAAGCCTTCATCAACGGGACAAGCCTTCATCAATGGGATAAGCCTTCATCAATGGGACAAGGCATCAACAATGGGATAAGCCATGAATATGCCATGGACCTAATAATTGTGACAGTCCTGCCTAGAGCTTAAATCGTACGAGGTATCATTAATGGACGATACATGAATAATGGGATAAGCCTTCATTAATGGGATGAGCCTTTAACAATGGGACAAGCCATGAATATCATATGTGACAGTCCTGCCTAGAGCTTGAATCGTACGAGACATCACTAATGGATGATACATGAATAATGGGACAAGGCATGAATATCCCATGGACCAAACAATCTTGACAGTCCTACCTGGAGCTTAAATTATACGAAAAAATCAATAATAGGATAACATATAAATATACTATGGATTAGAATATGAATCTATAAGTAATCCTAACTTAAAATATCTAACTTAAAATAGATATTTTAAAATAAAGTTAAAGAGTGCTGGCCCTTCGTACGGTCGCACCCCATCAAAAATAATTCCGATTTTCAATCAGCCACTACACCTTTAGAACTTGATTAATTACTCTAAAATTTAGTGACCATAATCTTTATAGTATAGAATAGAACTTTACAAATTTTGAGCTTTATCCTTATACGAGAAGCTTTTCCAGTCTACTCACGAAAAGTATTCCAGTCTACTCATGGCCCCACTTTTATCCACCATAGTTAAGGTAAAGTCCTAATTCCAGTCTACTAGACTGCAACCACCCCCATGGGATAGAAATACCCTATCGTGAATAGTAAATATATAAACTATCACTCGAACCGGCAGATATATATATCTAGCCTATATATATATATATTTTATATATTTTATATATAAATCGACTAATATCTCCATTTCTAATACTACTACGTAAAGTCTGAACAGTCCATTTAATAGCCCTTTTCTTACTATATATAATCCCATATTTCAATATTTTTATTTATTTATTTAATACGATATCACCTTAGGAATAACCATAAAAAAGATATATTTCCATGATGGCCGCCATTTAATTCACGTGATGCCGTAAATACGGATACGGTCTCATCTTTTTACTACTAGGCGGCTAAGATAAGATGGATACCGATTATACGGGATCCCGTATCGTAATCTACGGTCGCACCCCACTAAAAAAAAAGATCGATTTTTAACTTAATGTTTAACCACCTTCCCGGGTAGCTATCGGTCCTAAATTTTAATACCACCTTCGTATATATATAGAATAGAACTGTATAGATTTTTAGACTAATCGAAGCACGCCTAACCAGGTATTTATCAGACCTAAATACCTGGTCCCCCCCCACTTTCCAGGAGCCAATCAAACCACTTAAAATCCACATACCTGGTAGGTATGTGTCCTGGAATAGAGTTAGGAACCAGTGCTGGCCCTTCGTACGGTCCAGACCTAAATACCTGGTCCCCCCCCACTTTCCAGGAGCCAATCAAACCACTTAAAATCCACATACCTGGTAGGTATGTGTCCTGGAATAGAGTTAGGAACCAGTGCTGGCCCTTCGTACGGTCGCACCCCATCAAAAATAATTCCGATTTTCAATCAGCCACTACACCTTTAGAACTTGATCAATTACTCTAAAATTTGGTGACCATAATCTTTATAGTATAGAATAGAACTTTACAAATTTTGAGCTTCATCCTGGTACGAGAAGCTTTTCCAGTCTACTCACGAAAAGTATTCCAGTCTACTCATGGCCCCACTTTTATCCACCATAGTGAAGGTAAAGTCCTAATTCCAGTCTACTAGACTGCAACCACCCCCATGGGATAGAACCTAGATACATAGCCAGAATAGAACTCTATAATTTTTCAGGCTGTTTTAAGCAGCATTACGGAAGATAGAACAGGTCGAAGATTTTACGTTCTACCTGGTTCCCCCACATTGATTATTAGCCAATCAGAGCTCCTAAAAATCTTCTACCTACCAGGTCGAAGGTTCGGAATAGAGTTAGTACTTGGTACAAGGCACTGTTTCATACAGAAGAAAATTTACAAAGGGGTTTTAGAATTCAAGAACCTAGTTATGGCTTGAAGAATTAGTTCGCAACGGGTGTTGTGCGACAAAACTGTATATCCGCCAAGATTAGTAATGTATTTGAGCCCATACAAATTGTCAGATAGGGGCATAGTTAGTTAGCAATTCAGACTCATTGTGATTTCTATTGGTGCACATACATGGCTTACTCATCTATGTTCCAACACTGACTGCTGACAACGATTAGGAACGCTGGGGTCTTGAGCCCAAACACTGAGGAGGAATACCTTTGCTACGATCAATCGCAATCCGAGGGCATACGTCGCTGTTGCCTAATGCTATGTAGAAGTTAGCACTACAAGTATCAAAATGGCGAAGTGCAGATGCCAAAGCGCGATCCGCAGCAGGTTGGACAATCCTGCCCAATGGTTCCGCGCTACGGTGTGGTGAGTGTGACGGAGATGCTCTCGCGGAGGAATAGGACTGATCGTGGCCTACTGCCTATCCATACCGCATTCATTGAAAGATATCGTGAATACTTTTAGGCACTGGTGGCAGGAATGGTCTTGGTGTTGTGCGAAGAAGGCGGGGTCAGTATGAGGCTGCAGGTTCCTAGGATTTGCGAATAGGATCGCACCGCTGTAGTTGGCAAGCGACGCCTCACGGTTTGTGATAACAAGCAGCAGGGATCCCTGCCAACCGTGCTACAGAGCCCAATGAAATCGTTTTCTTGCCCTCCTCTACAAATTCGACTGGTCCGATTTACAAGGTCCATGGGCTTTTCTCTCCCTCTTTTCTTTTAGCAATTTGAAATAGTCTCGCCCCCAGCATTCTTGCGGCTGGGGCCCTCTTAGCTAATCAATTGTTCGTGATTCAAGATCTCATCGTGTTCCAGTTGCGTATTCTTTCCGACGCTCTAGTCACCATAGGCCTCGCACGATGACCGGCGAATCCCATATTGCTACTACAAATTGTGCAGAGAATATTGCTCTCAATTATCTACTCCATGAAGTCCCTGAATCACCGCAACAAAGACCCACCGAATGCTCTCGAGTACTCGAAAAAGGCTATATACTTCCATTTTCCAAAGAAAGAGACCTAGTGGAAATTCTCTCCTTTCTTGCAAAAACTAAAGAGGGGCCGGATTTCATTCCTGCAATGTGTATTGAGCAGGACCCCAAGGGGAGAGCATTAAAAGCCCTCTTGGCGATCAATAAGAGGACATATGCCGATGGAAATGGCTTACTTCAATCTCTGAAAACGGGGTTTGAGAATATTTTTGATGTTCTCCGAAAATCTCTATATGGTTCGTTATGCTCCTCCATTCGTGGTAGTTGCTGATTCGTATTTGGTCAGAGAGAGGCAGCTCTACGGAGATCACGAAACAACTCCTAGAGATGATCGTAAAAATGTGCTCCTCTCGGATTGCTTGTCGATTACGCCTTACTGGGAAGAAATGGAGAGAGTCTAAAGCCTCCATCAAAGATATTCTGCGAAAGGCGATGGAGGGCACTCAGCAAATAAATCCGCAGAAGCTCCGCCAGTCTTACCTAGAAGACAGCTTGTCGTTATTCCACGAGGAATCCAAAAGGGTTATCCAATCCGTCAACGAGTGGTCTAATTATCGCGTCCCCTCACGTCTTCATGACATCGTGGAGAAAATATACCAATTAAACAATGTGCAAGGCTTGCAGCAACTCCTTCTTTTGATTCCCACTGGTTCCAAAAGAGTAATCAACGAGTCAACCTTCGCAGCTACTCTACTCAACATACTTCGAAAGATATCCCGATATAAAGAAGCCGCTCGAATGCTTTATCGCACTGCGAAGAAGTTCCCTTTTGTCCGAAACATTGAGATTCATCCGGTGACTCTCCCTCAAGAGGCTTTCGATAAATTTCACAACCCCGCATACTCGCCCAGTCTCTCAGCCGTGCTGCGCCGTTTAGGGAAAATCAATGGCAAAGACTATACCATCTCCCGGTTTTCCCGATTCATAAATGGTGGCAAGATCAAGAATCCGAGCGACCAATTTTGCGAGCAAACGACTAGAATTCTTCGGGAAGCCAAGATCCATGCAGAGGTCCAGCTTATAGCCCACTGCGAAACCCAATCGGCTCCGTTGTTCCCACGGGTCATTGGATCCAGCAAGGATGCCTGCTTTCTATGCCATGCATTGATCCATAGCCATGGCAAGATGCACACATCACGCACGCATGGGAGATTGTACCCCAATTGGCGACTACCAATAGCTTCGTCGTTCAAGTACCTGGAGCACCGGTTCAATGACTTCCTACTGAACTATGCTCGAGAGACTATCAAGGCTCGAGAAAAAGGTCAAACGAGAGTCCATCCGTGCCCGAATGAAAGCACGTTACTTCCTATTTTAGTCTCCATGTCGACAATAAGTGCTGTACAATGCCCTATCGCCATTACCACGGAGAGAACGGCGTCAGTTCCTGGTTTCGCTCCAGACTTCGAGATTATGAAACCCGCTCTCTCAAATACAGTTTCAACGAACAGGCAGAGTCCGTCCATGAATAATAAGCTATCTAGTACCTGTTCTCTTGTTCTCAGTGACCCATTCAATGGAAATATCAACCTATTCGATTCGCCTACGCTCTTTTTCGCTGACCGCTTGCATATATACTTCGAGACAAAGGAGAGTTCGGCGTTTGAATACGCATCTCAGTTTCCTGTGTACTCCATTGAACAAATCACTGTCGATCAGGTGACCAGGCTGTCTAATGAATCTCTTACGGTAGACGTGATGGAACTACAGGGGGAGATAACATATCCACTACCAGTGGACGGGACGATCTATCTCACAGCTCACGATACCACAGTAAAGATTGTTTGCAAGCAATGAAATTCAGTAGCATTCGGGACACACTGCTGGTAAATAGACAAGTGCGCTGGTACCATGTTCTAAATACTAATGAATGCTGACTGCAAAATGTTGTGGTAATGAGCTAAATTATCAGCACGGCAAAAGATTTACACGCGCTTACAAATGAACGCGGTCATTCGTCAACCAAAACCGCCGTTCATATTATTCTAGCAGATCGCCCATTAATGGTGACTGTTGTTCATTTACTCCACTACCTTAAACATCCTGTAGATAATAGGAGCCACTCAAGCTCCCGGGGAAAACTACATCTGTGGAACTCAAAACCAAGGAAGCGCTTCCAGGACTCTATGAAAAATCTTATGTCACGGAGGCTTCTACAGTAGGCAGACACAGCTCGCCAGATTGGCTAAAGTCTCTCCTTGGTTGACTGCGTTTTACATTGTAATGTATCGATCTGCTCAATTGGATCACGCAGGTAGTCCCGATTTAGGGTTTCTACAGTCTCACCACTTCTTTCTATTAAAGGATATTCTGGGCATAAGAATGTAGGCTATTCAAGATGAGAGGTGTATAGGAAAGGCACAGGGATCTGAAGCAATATAGAAATTGATCAAACGCCAGGGATGGGACTCTGTTCTCTAAGCGCGAGAAATATGATAAGACCAGACGAACAAGCGATCGCCAAGTTTGTTGTAGACATAGCAAAAAGTGAGGAATTAGTCGGTCGATATTCGGTAGGCAACCAAAGGAGGTTGGCTCCATTATAGGTTATCCAAGAATGGTCGTCATTCAAACCATACCCGAATTGTTCTGGCAAGGTCGAACAGTCCGGAGTGGAAGTGAAGTAGGGAGAGCGTGTTGATTCGCACTGGCCGGTGGCCGGATCCCAGATTCTGACGGTCTCATCATCTGACGCTGATGCGAGTCGGCTTCCATCTTGCGACCAGACAATCAAGAGGACCGAACCGCTATGCCCCTCGAGGGTTAACGCGCACTGGCCGGTGGCCGGATCCCAGATTCTGATGGTCTTATCATCTAACGCTAATACCCGTCGGCTTCTATTTTGCGACTAGGCAATCGAGAGGACCGAACCGCTACGCCCCTTAAGGGTTAATGCGCACTAGCCGGTGGCCGAATCCCAGATTCTGACTGTCTCATCAGAGGACGCTAATGCGAGTCGACTTCTATCTTGCGACTAGGCAATCGAGAGGACTGAACCGCTGTGCCCCGCGAGAGTTAACGCGCACTAGCCGGTGGCCGGACCCCAGATTCTGACAGTCTTATCAGAGAACGCTATAGGAACCGAATGTGACCTAATTAAACAAATATTTCCATATTAGCAACGTTGGATTAGCGTGGTTTGGGGTACGGGCCGAGAGACAACGCGTGTCCACCAAGGGAGAATCTGTTTTTGAATATCGCTGTATCAAGGAACCCTGGAACGCTGGTTCCCACAAGTCGAAACTAACTAAAGCTGCAACGTTCTGCAAGCCCGGTCTCAGTTCCTCTAACATGTCTAAGTGTACAATGACTAAAAATTTTAATCAGTCTGTGACACCCAAGTAGTTCCTATCTCGCGACTATCTAGTTACTGGTGCGACTCGAGCCCTAAAACTATCAGAGCTCAAATATATTGACAACGCAAGGCAGACGAGGCAGAGGTGAGCTTGAAGATACCCTAAAGAAACCTGGTTGTATGATGCTTCCAGTTGTGGTTATATGCAGATGCCAAGATGTCGAGCGTTTCAGGGGGCGGGCATAACCCAATGACATTCTGTTGTTGTTCAGCTGATGGGGTCAGTGCAGTGGTCGAGCGACTTGGGCGATTCTCACCCTGATTCTCACCCCGTCTATAGCACACTCACCCTTGTCACCCCCGGTCGCGCGACCATAGAGCGGCTCTCACCCTAAACTCACCCTGGCGACACCCACCTGACTATTGGCCGCACATAAGCCCTACTCTGGAAGGTTAACTTAGTAGTTAATGACTCGTTGGCTCGGCTCACCTTCTCCTGACTCCTTGCTGACATCCGCGGGACCTCTCCTAAAGCCATTCCTCTAGAACGAGAGGGGAAAAAGGAGTGTCGCCCGTCCACTCATTGGCCACTTTTCTTCTAAGGCTGTGGTATCCTAGTGTTTAGTGCATCCCAGCCTGGAATTAGCGATGATAAAGCCGAAACTTGTGGCTTTAGGCATGAAGACGGGCCTATGGTGGTTATCTACCCGGATCTTCCGCGAGAGCTTAACGACTATATCATAAATTCGCTACTATGTATGATTGGAAAGTGGGAAGGACATCGGGCATGGACAGGACCGCCAGATAACTATTAGCTTAGTGACGGCGGAAGAAGATACTATATAATGACGGCGGATGCTTTCGATTGTGACAGTGTCCATTGATATATGCATTTATCATTTCTTTCTGCCCCTCTAACTTTGCGGGCGGCTTCTTTTGGCCCTTTGGTGCCTTAGTTTGGTAGAATAATGAACCTGCAGTGCAGACAACTTACGGCTAGGAAAATGGTCCGCGATTTCCTTCCATGTTAGCCTCCCTTCCTCTTTTAACTTTACCAGCAAGTTATTCTCGTCAGTTGAATAGGGCTGGCATTTACTTTTTCCCGCGAGTTAAACGGTTTATGCTCAGTGACCGCTTTAAAACCCTACCTACTTTCTCGGAGTTATAGGGAGGACTGTGCGCGGCAACATATAATGTCGAGCAGACGTTGTCGGGTATAAGAGTGAAGAAGAAAGTGGGCTCCGATCCCTGGGTCTTAATAGTGAGAATTGCCCGCCTAACAATATCGCGGCTCTCGCAGTAACGCCTGGACGATGAACTAAAGGACATGCGATTTGGATAGCAGGAAGCGGTCGTACTTAGAGAACCGTTTTTCTCCTCCACGGAGTCCTTAACGTGTGGGAGTTCTGATTCGATCGTATCGGTCATGAAGTCTTCGTCTGAGGAATCATCGACGTCCTCACTTTCGCTCTCAGATGCATGAAACATAACAGGTTTTGGCCTTGACCGTAGACTCCGTACAGGTCTTAGCCGTGGTGGAGGAATAACCACTACAACAGACGGGTAGCGCTCGTTGCAAGTAGTTTCTCGTTTTCTGGTCGAAGGCATTGGACGTTCTTGGTTTTTGCATTTTCTCGGATTAGCCAGACTTAGGCTCTTGTCTCCTCGAACACTAGGTGTTCTCGAACGAGAATTGAAAGACTCGCGCCCGTAGGCTTATTCTAGATCCATTAAATCGGGCATATTAACGTGCAGCGGATCGGCCGGCCCAGAAGGGCCTGATTCAGCCACGGTTCTAGGGGGATAATCTGAAATTAATCTGGTTTGGCTTGTTTCTGCATAGTCATCAGAATGGTCGTCGGGATAATCCTCCGGTGAAGGAACGCAAGAGCCTATGTCGTTTCGATTGTTAGAGATAACGTCCGAGTAGGATAAGATGGAAGAGAGCGGAGTGTTAGAAGAGTAGTCGCTGAATGCAGTAGACGTATCGGACATATCTGAAGCATAAACTAGACTAGAGGATTTAAAGTACGCGGGGTATGAAAGTTGATCTCGTGTCCACTGAACATCTTCCGTCACGTCCGATTGCGTAACCCCGGAATGCGTTTCTGCAGCACCTGGTGAAAGAACCGCGATAGAAGGGGACCGAGGAGGCTGAAGAGGAGTTATGTAACTGGATTGGGATCTCGGGAAGACGTCGGAACCGTCTAACTCGGCACTTTTGCTTGAATTTACACTCTTGAATTTACACTGAACGAGGACGGGGCTGTGTTCCAATATCGATTAATAACTTGGAAAGTAGGCCAGCTCAGATCTTAAACTTACAGTCGGCAGGCATCTTTTCATTCGAGTTATCTCGGTAGTCATAGTAAAGCCTCTGTAGCGAGGGGCAGGCATCTCTGTCGCTAGCTTCAAGTGTACCTAACAATGGCGTTAACGCCCCCAGGACCTCGCCAGTTCGAGGTCAAACAAGTTAGGCGACCCAACTGCATAATAGAGTTAGGATCTATCGTTGATATTTTCAATTTATTCCGTAGATTGGCTCTCTTGTGACATTGAAGTCTCTTGTTATTATCCATAGTTCTCTATCATTCGCATCTGATATCGATTTTATTCCAGCTTTGCTCCTCCATAAGCCAATTTTCCCACGTCTCCTCAGAGTGATATCCAGGGCTGAATCTCCCTCTGGTTGTAGGCTTCTTACCATTGACCTTTGGGCTATGCTTGAATAGAACCAATCCCTTGCTGTGGTACTCCCTAATAAACCAACCTCTTTCTCCTGGATCTTCGACAACGATTATTCCAACACTGTGCTCCTCCCCTTTCTCTGTCCTGTATGTAAACAATTCTACAACATAGTGGAAGCTTGAGCTCGAAGAGCGTACTTCCTGCCCTGATCTCTTGTATCTCACGTTGAGTTCAAGAATACTGAAAATCTTTGCTCGGACGCGTAGATAGTTAGAGCGGCTATCAGAGCGACACTCCATTGCTGGGGTCTGATTTCTCTTGTTCAGTGCCTTCAGCTTCCCAGTGAGGATTCTTTTTCCACGATCCCTCTTTTTTTGGAAATAATCAAGGCTCGGTGCCAATATTCCTAGCTTTGGAGCTTGTTCCCCATGGCGCCTTTCATACCTGTCTTGGATCTCTAAAGAGGAAAAATCACGATGTTAGCGAATGTTTTGTACCAAAACAAAGAAGAAAAAAAAAAAAAAAAACAGGTAGAGCTGACGTACCAGGATTACTGAACCAAGCCAGTAAAGATAGATCGTCGTATTTTTTGATCAATTCCTTTTGAAACTGGAGGAAAGCAAGCTTTCCTGCGTTATAATCCACGTCCATTTTAATCTGCAGTAATGCAAGAATCGAGTATGCCTGGTCTTCGACGCGGGTTGTATTTCGGGGTCCTGCCCACGAGAGCTGGGTAGCCAAATTGTTTTCCATGGGTACCTTCCGTACATATTCACGGAGCAGTTGACTCAATCCCGTCCCCGGAGCACCTTTGACCTCACGGCTTCCAATCTCGCGCCAATTTCTATCCACATAGAGGAGCTTCTTGGGCGCAAGAAGCTCCTGCAGTGTCCACCCCCTATTGAACCATTTCGCGCTGTTGAACGCCTCATCCGATCTTCTTTTTTCGTTACTCATGTCCACCTCCTGAATATAAGCATAGCACACTGCTGCGTGCGTGTAAAATTCCCACATGCCATGAATGGAGCGCTTTGTCTCCTGAGGATTTGATTTGTCGATACAGCATGTGTCCATCCAAGCATACTGATACTTCTTACGCCTCGCCAAATTGCAGAATCCTACAATCTTTTCCCACCCTTTCTTTTTCAAACGAGACCCCTCCCAGCCGCGGTTTTTGAAATTTTCAAGCTGGGAAGCAGAATAACCTTTCATGTCTTTATATTCGAGTTCGCTGTGTGTCCATAAGCCATCTTCCAGCGCCTGCCTTAGCCACGTATGTGATAAGATGGCATATTCCTTGTCGGGGAATTCGGCAAAGTCGACAAACTTCAAAGACCTGGTATCTAAGACCCGCATTGGGAAGGACTGTTGACTCGGAGATGAAGGCCGTTGGACTGAAAAACTAGGAATGACAAGGGGTCGAAAAATCTCTTGCGATAGTAGGCAAGTTTAACATTGAAACATTTGAAGGAAGCGGAAGAATCAGAAGCTGGCAAGACGTAAGAAGTTTCACCTCTATATAGAGGAGCAGGCGACCCCTCGTGAATTTTCCCCTGTCACCGCAAGCCATGTCACCTGCCACTGGGTAAGATAAGTGAGGTGTTAGTTGTCAAACTATGACATACATATATGGATAAGATCGGCGAACCCGAAGTATCATATTTACTCTTTCGACTCCGAGTAGACCAACAGGCTCGCAACAGGAAAGTTCTCCACTGTAAGAAGCTGGCTAGTTCATCTTTAGGTAAACTAGTGACGTGTCATATGTATCTGTGTCTCAGGGCTCTCAGCTGAAAGAGGAAGTTCGAATCACCGGGAACCAAATCGTTCTCGGCCTCAAGCTGGTGACGTGTCGTATTTTCCCAACTCTTGATTGGAAGAATATGGCAATCTGGGTTTAGGACAAAGCTGTTTCGAGGAAAATGCAAACCATATTTACTGAGCGGCATGCCATAGATGTTGATTGGACAGGAGACCAGTCAGCATTGATGCGCGCAGGTGAGGCACACAGAGAGGGGTACAGCGGGATACCCAAGTCACGTGTTTGAACTTGAAACAGTCCGAATTACTTTGGTAACGCAAAAGAGCCTCCAGGGCTGCAGAGAATTTGGAAGTGAAGATGTTGATTCAGTGCTCTGGTTGAATTATGGCAGAAATCCCTACGTCCCGCAACCGAGAGAAAACTTTCAAGGATGACTTTAGCATTCAAGACGGGCCAGTTTCTGGCCATGATTCAATTGCCGGAGATAATCTCTGAATGGGCAGCAATAATTCCACTCGTCTGTCATCTCGCAAGTCCTCAAGATGATTACCTCATTGCTGGAGATTTATCTCTCAACGGACGTTTTTCGATACCTTTGTTTCCTCGGTTTGGGACCCTATGGGGACTGGGAAGACTCTTAAAGAACGGATCAAAGTACTTCGACTTTGCAAGCGTAAGAGGAGGCTCATCCCGAACAGTATGGGATGTCAAGTGGGGATCGGAGTTTCCATGCGCAAATGGTGCTGCGAGCGCCGCCATTGAGGGCGTTATTCTTGAACGCGCGAAATCGAAAAACGATAAATCATTAAAGCAATCTCTTCCTCCATCAAAAATATCTGCCGCTCCTAATACTCACGAAGTACCGCTACACAAAGACCAACCTACCAGCAAAAAGCCACATTTTCGGCAACAGGTTTTATATGTATACCAATTCAATTTCCACCAGCCCCGCTGTGAATCTCTACGATACAGCATTGTTAGAATCAGCCGTTCAAAAATATGGACTATACTGAGCTTCATCATACTCTGCGGTATCGCCTTGATATTCTGTCTCATGGGTGCCTATGGGACTGCCAGCCTTATCTTGATTGTTATAAGTTCCAGACTGGTCGGCAGAATTATCACCATTTCTCGAAGTTCGGGATATTTACGAAACAACGAGAAATTCGAGAATGCAACTATGCTAGTCGCATCACATGTCAATGCTTCGGAATGGACCTTGTATATTGGCGACCGCGCAATTGTCGACAGCCTGCTCAACAAGCCCATGGTATCCTTTCCGGAGGGTAATCGAGTACAGCTAGCGGCCAGATTCTTTTACCTTGCACATGGACTCCAACTTATCGTGATTACATATGTGGCGGCACAGAAAGGTTGGGATGGCGTATCCTTACTCTGTGTTCTTTGTCTTCACTATGTCTATCGATGGTTGGCTGGAGATCAAGACGCTGCCTACTGGCTGGCGCGAGAAGATGTTCAGGTGAAGGTAAGAGCATATGAGTTTGGCTGGCGATCGGTCATGCTTGGCGCTATACAGCTTTTCAGTGAATCTAAAACGACTCGTTGGATGGATTCCATTATTGTACCGCATTTGCGACGTGATGCCTTCCTCAATCACCTGCAAGGGGACAAAGTCGAAAAAGAGATAGAAGCAAAGCTCGATGAGCATGATTTGAACTGGATTAATCAAGCTACCATTTTGTCTGTGCAGAGCGCGGAGGTTCTGCGGCAGGATTTCGGGTTGGAAAATTCAAGGACGGAGTGATTACATGGAGTGGAAAAAGATGCAGGGGTTGCCTGGTTATTAGGAAATTCACTTGATAGAGTGGAGTATGTTCCCTAGCCAATTATACATAATAAACACTTTACTTCTTTCACCACGTTTATTGAAAGATAAATGAGTTAATTGGTTTTTTATTCTTTTTGTAGACAGATTTCTGTGACAATCAATTGTTTTGCAAATCTTCTCTTGCCCGTTGGTTGACCTTTTAACTTTTAGCAGGGTATCGATGATTCGGTCAACTCCTAATCGTTATATTTTATCGTGTATCAACATGATGCCCGACGGTTTAAGGATTTGCTAGTCTGAAAGTATGCTGTAGTGACGTTGCAGACACGTCAAAGGTATGGCAGGCAATATGTCAATATCGTTAAAAGTACGGTTATTTCACGTTGCCACACCTATTTAATGACGGTAAATAACACCAGTAATTATTGCCCCTCCAGTCTTGCGGGGGCTACCTTTATAAGTTCAACACACAAAGGACCGCTTTTCGTGTAATACTTTGAATATCGTGGCCTTTTCGCGTTCCATGATTGAAGACTCTCCTTCGTGCAATGACATTTAAATTTATTGAGCCCCTTTCCATTAGCGGACTCAAGTTTTATAAGAGTCCCTGCTACCTATATTTTCTATATAGGCTTCTCTACTCCTAAAGTACCTCCAGATATCAAGGCAACGCGCTCAATGGCCGCTATCAAGGCTACCAGGCCTAAAGATGTCGTTTCAAAAAGCAAGTGAATGCGGCAAAAACAATGCCGTCGCAAAACAAATCTGATGAAAAAGGTATGCGAATATAGCAGGATGTGCAACGCAGATGTATGTGTGGGAATTCGTATCCGAGAGACGGGCCAGGTACATATTTTATCAGCGGATACTTTAGGATTTTGGCCTTTCCTTCGCTCGCAATTAGTATGTCTCAAACTATGGCTCTGAGGAAAAGATGACTGACCTATCAAGAACTCCTACTATCCAGCCCCAATGCTAGTGGCAGACCAGGATCTACAGCAGGCTGATAACGAAACACCGCAACAAGGTATAGCGTTTGGTTGAAAAGGCCAGATTCGGCATAGCGTTTGGTTGAGAAGTCGAAAACGGAAATTACATATAACTGTGTTTTGTACCATTTCACACAGGGGGAATATAGACTGTGGGAAGAGTATGACCTAAAAATGTTCATATAGAGTGCCATTACTGATAATTATTAAGCGCCATTCTCATATTCATTATACTCCTCTTCAGACTCCAGGTGTTAGCGTCTCTAAACTCTTCTCCATAACTCATCAGTCAGCCCTTAGTTAAATTTCCACCTAAAATAGGCTTCCCATTTAAGCCTACAGTCAATTATCCCCTAGGCCAGGTAGAATACCTTCTGGTCATAGCAGAGGTTACTATTTAAGTGGCTTCGTGCTGCGCTGCTAAGTATAATTCCTGGGAACTCCGGAGTTAAATGATGTTAGTGGATCGTGGTCGCCGTCTTCCACTAAGGAGATGCACGGGAAGACATTCAGAAGATAAATGCCATAAAGGTCTTATGCCACCAGTGTAGTATTTTTACCAGTAGAAAGGAAGCGATCCCATTCATTATCCTCAGGATTTAAAGGTTCGAAGTCTGTCTCGAACTTCTTTTACGATCGCTGGATTAAAGCCAAACTCCGGCCGTGTTCTGAACTATTTTCTTAAATTTGTACAAAACAAATCGTGCTGCGCTTCGGAAAAGAGACTGCTTACATACGAGGACATTCTCTGAACCACGGCTCGAATTTCAGGATTAAGAGTGTCATGTTCGGCGCACGGATAGAGGGAAAGAGAAGTATGCGACGGTGAAATGCTTCTCTCTCGACATTACTCTCTGCAATATGTTCGAGAGCTTGACGAAGATTACTGCCCCTTGAAAGAAAATAGCTGGGCTGGAATATCCGTTGATTGATCTCTCTGAACAGAACAGTCAGGATTAATGCAAACCGTATCGCTTTGGGGATTGAAACCAAGTATTTTACATGGAATATCCTCGGACCGGTATAACAGCGATACCACACAAAGAGTTCATACAGATTCATGATTTCTGTCAAAGCCCTTCATTGGGCCGGAGAAAGTGTTATTCCTTGATTTTGTATGGTTTGCATTGTAATAGACAGAATCTCCGGTTTCCGTGCCGTATTTACTCACACACACCGTCACTGTTCCATCTAACTCTATTCCTGAGGTCCCCAGGAGGAATCAGCCATAAATTTCTCGAGCACTGAGCCCTCACTGGGCTGGTAGGTAGCTAAGGGTCAAATGTACGAACCAGCTCCGCCTAGACCCAAGAAAACAGATATTGTCCGCTCGCGTAATGGCTGCCAGAGCTGTCGCAAACGACGCACCAAAGTATGTCCCCCTATAGGAGCTGCAGTGAATCCTGCTAACATCGACGACCAAGTGTGATGAGGAAAAGCCAGCGTGCGGGACGTGTGTTAGGCTGGGGATAGTGTGCGAGAGCGTCAAGCTAGACTTAAAATTCCGAGTCGTGACCGCACCTCCTCCAAAGGAAACAAGCGGAAAGACGGAGTCAGCCGAACCAGACTCAAGTCGCCTGGGGCTGCAGCTCTTCGGCCAACATGGTCGAAGTTCTCAAATCCCGAACATCAACCTCGCCCACTCGTTGCAACATACCGATCGAGATGTCTTTTACTCGACTTACTGGGAGGATCACTGCTTGCCAGCACTACATCCGATATTCCGTTGCGCATCTAAGCTGCTTGGGTTTCCAGCGTTGAAAGATGCCATCCTCGCTTTATCTTCATGCAATATCAGTCGCATTTATGCTGAAAGAAAATACTCAACATCCTTTGCGACTATGGGAACACTTAGTCCAAACCTTATACACCAAACAAGGAGTCAGCTGTATTATTCTTCTGCGATCAAAAGATTTATTTCGCTCACTCAAGACGACCACCAAAATAATGCCGCAGAGGTCCTTACTATTCTAGTTATCTTTGGCTACATTGAAGCGTCTATGGGTAATTTTGACGGATACTATTGTCACGTCCAAGGCCTGTCGGCATTTCTTGTCGAACTCGGTGAGATCACTGGAGATTCACTTTACAGGGCTCTCCTCATTTCATGGCTACAGTCGCAATTTCTGGTCTGGTGGGCGCGCGCATACTTCAGTTCTCTCAATGTACAACGAAATATGCCCTCGATTGATTTCGCAAGGGGCCTTGGAGGAACCTCTGGCTCCCTCCACGATATACGGGCTGTGGTTCTAAGCATTTTATGTGAATCCCATCGACTAAATGTGAAAGAAACTCTCAAACATTGGACAGCCCAAACAGATTTCGAACTGGCCCTCGCAAGCGATTTGCAGTCCGACAGAGATGACATGGAAGGCCATCTCGCGCGATTACAGGATGAATCCAAAAGGCTCGACGAGTGGCTATTATATCTGCCACCATCGGAACAACCGCTTGTGGGTGATGCGTCAGAAACATCGCCCATCTTTTTTCAAGCACACGATGCAGCCCTGAATTTTGCTTACTACGTTGTGGCCCGGATTATGCAATGCACGTCCTTCCTACAAAATCTTCCATATCGCGACGCCCAGCATCTTGGTAGTGAGTGCTTGGAGATAGAACCATGGACCCGCCTCCTACTTCGAATTGTCCAAGGGACCGACATGCAAACGTCCATTATCCGGAATAATTATACAATAGGGTTCTCGGGTTTGTTATTAGCCGCGTCTCTCCGCTGTCAGGAACTCTCTCTTGGCATGCAGTTCCAACAGTGGCTGCAGATTTTAGAGGAAAAGCAGCCGACGGAGGAGGGGGCTTTCCCTGTATACCAGGCGCTTGCTGTTGTCAAGGCGATAAATCGACAGAGGACAATGGGCCGCGACGTGTTCGGGGTTTCGCAGCCTATGGATGATGGCGGTGGAACACCCAAGTTCACTCATTATAACAGCCAGATGATCACTACCATTTTGCTTCATGGGAAGTCGAGATATACTGGCGACCTCTTTACAGAGTGTATAGATTTAGAGTAGTATGCCGTAATAGCGATTTGAACAAATCCAAACATTAGTGTTGATGTCGCCGCACCGGGTTAAGCAAAGCTCGCTCAGTGGCTAGGAGTGGCCCACTCACAATTTTGCGTCATTAACTAAACTCGACTCCTTGTCTACGAGCTATATAGCCACCTTGTGTACTCTGTCTGCACAACAAAACAGCTTGTGTTGGCATCTGAAACTGGGAGTCTATTTGCCTTCAACTACACTCACGTGTGAAATGAATGGCTTGTCTGCTGTTGAGGTTACGTGCGATAGGTAGCAAAGGACTAGACTGGGACGTTTATGGGTGGTCGAGAATTGTTCAGCATTTGCAAGGCACCGAAGGAACTACTGATCAACGGGCACAACATACATTAGGTATATTGACCATTGTTGAACCGCGTCGTACTTGAGAATTTTCTCTTCAGTGCCCTCCCTCCCTTTACCCGTAATAGTGACATTTCCGAACAGTTTTATGATTTGTACCTTGTTTACAACCGACACCGGGGGGATTAGCCCAAGCCGTCCGAGACTACCACATGCCAATCAGGCCTAATTTAACAATCAAGCATCGATATGTGAAATCTCGAACTCAAGAGAAATTCGTAAATTTCGTGGTACAGAACCATATAAGCAGGACAGATTCCAATCGACAAGGCCCACACGCCGTGCAAGTCTTGAACGATTTTAGATGTCTCTTACAGATGGTTAGGTGTCGCTCTTGATCATCTGCTCTATTAATTATGTAGTGTACCTGAGTTGTCTTCTTAGCCACCATGTTCATTCCAGGCCTTTATCCGCACTAAACATCCCCAGATTACTCGTCTAGCCACTGGATGACCCTCTTCAGCAACTTCATACCATCAGTTGGTTGGTCGAGTTTCTGCGCCTCCGCCTTCAACTGGTCAGCAGTAGAGTTCCCATTGTACTCCTTGTCGTCTGCAAGAAGCATTTTTTGGGCCAGCCTATTCGAAATTTCGGGATGAGCTTGGAAGGAGAGAATTGTGTTTGCTTTGTTGATGAAGCACTCGTGGTTCGAGGCGAGGTGGATGAAGCCCGGTGCAGGCTTAGTGACTTCGCGGACGTGAAATTCGGGTGCTCTCTACAACGAACTTAGTGAAATAGCCATAGTACTAGACAAATAAGGTAGACATACGTACGAACCGGTGCTGGCGGCGAATGTCAGGAATTTTTTGCCCGCGTCCGTGAGAACAATATCTTGGATAGCAGCCTGTACAATATCAAGTTAGGGCTATCCCAGTCTAGTTAGTTAAAGTGTACTAGAGGAAAACCCACGATTGGCCCCGTCGGAACAGCTCCAACCTCCCCACCGAGTGCTCTCGCCACAGCTTGATGCCCCCAACAGACACCAAGAATCTTCGTCTTGGGGGAATCACGCACAACAGTGCGCACGAAATCAAGCACTCCGAGCACCCATGGGTCAGATGAAGATGCATCTGCTTTGCCTCCGCTTAGTGCAATTAGGTCATATTTTGACGAATCTGGGAAGGTTCTCTCGAAGACTGGGTCGTAGAAATCGACCTCGGTGCAGGGGGCAACATTGGCGAGAGATTCTTGCCAGGCCTGACGGACGTCTGTCCAGAAGTCATAGTCGTCTGACGGTGTATTGATGAGGACGGCGATCCTCAAAGGGGTAGGTCTGCTCATGGCTAGTTTGAAATGATTAACTATGATTTTTGAGAGGCAGTTGAGTGAGAGGCAGTTGAGGACTCTCTCGGTCTCATCTTGAAAAAAAGCTCTCATTTAATACTTTTCCCGGTACACATTGCACCGCCATCCTGGAAATTCCCGAACATACCATCAATGTCCCTCATGGGTCTATCGTTCCTGCAGACCGCATCAGGCAAGCCTACCGGAGAACTCACCTCCTGATAGGCACTCCATGCATCTCGATACATCGGTCTTCTATTGTGGGTCCGCGCTATTCTAAACTCGGTGTGCGGGAACGACGGTGAACCACGGTTGGTTCCCTCATACTCCGATCCCAATCGCCCGCCTTACTTATTAGACCGCGCTAGAGCGATGCAAGCTTTCTTCCGGTGTAACCAGGGTACTATTCTAGCCTGACTAGTGCCTCGGGCGTGATTGTGTAAAATGGGCTTTCACGTGACTCACATTTTAAAAGTCTTCTATATAAGCCAGGTAATCTATATAAGGCTGGTAATATACCCTTCTCAAGACCAATGTCAACAAGGTCTCTTTCTCTCACTCCGCAACTTGGACCCCCGAAATGTTCCTCCCGCCTGTCCATGCTGAACCCGAAACTGCGGTCCTGTTCCAATTCATCCGCGAGAATCCCCTAGGGATGCTTATCACGGGAATAAAATCCTCCCAAGAATTCTTACAGTGCACCCATGCTCCTTTCGTCCTAGACCTTCCGGATGAAACCACTAGCTCCCCACCACAGGGCCGTCTCCGTGCACACATTGCTAAGCAAAACCCGCAAGTGAAAGGCATGATCGAGGAACTCGTGAGCAAACCCAATATACTCGAGGTTGAAGATAACGTACTTGTGGTGTTCAATGGTAAATATAGCCACTATGTCACTCCAAAATACTTCGTCGAAACCAAGCCAGACACGGGCAAAGTCGTCCCCACATGGAACTACTCAGCCGTCCAGGTCTATGGCAAGCTCTCTCTATACTATGACTCGAAGTCTCCCGAGGCAGGCGCTTTTCTAGCCAAACAAATCGACGATTTATCGCAGCATACTGAGAAGTCAGTCATGGGGCATACGGGCGGCGAGAACCCGCAGCCGTGGAAAGTGTCTGATGCGCCGCAGAAATATATTGAGTTGATGCAGAGGAACATTGTTGGCATTGAGATTCGCATTGAGAAAGTTCAAGGGAAATTCAAGATGAGTCAGGAGATGAAACCTGGTGACCGGGAGGGTGTGGTGGCAGGGTTTGCGCAGATGGGCGGCGAGAATGCGGAGGGGATCTCGAACTTGGTTAAGGAAAGGGGAGCACTGCACGACTCAAGGGCGCAAAAAGGATAGATGAATTCTATCACGAGCCGGATGAACGACAAGCAAGAGGATGCGCACTGAGATCGCCCAAGCCATGACGATCAGTCCATGTACGTTCATTCAATCTGTAATACCTCTAACGACTGAGTCTGACCGCAGCAGGTGACTATAATGCCTTGTCGTGGAAACTCGATCTCACGCTTCTGAATTTGGCGCGTTGAAAGGGAGATTTGCATGGTGGGAATCGGGTAAGAGTTGATCCCCCATAGTCGGGATGACACTTGAATAGTTATGAAGAGGTAAAAGTTTCTTCCCGGGGAGGGGGCGGATGGATTTTGATCATTTTGCTGTTGTGTCGACAATTTTTAATCACCTCCTGTTAGTGTCTAGACTGCTCCTGTAGATTGTTACTAGGCTAGTGGTTACTAGCGGGGTATCAGAAGAGGAAATATTAGCACACTCCGCTTCGGATTAGAATTTAAAACAAAAATCAAGACTGTGGCGGTGTTAGACCGAAGAGCGAACTGCTCCGAAACTCGCGAAACTCCCCCTAAATATCCACGGTTTATCCTATATACAGAGGAAATACACGACCCCTACGCCATGGACAACTACGTGTTGTGCCACCATGAATTACTACCGAAGTTGGAATTCGAGTAATGAGAATACTCTCGCGGTAAATAGCATTATACATAATGGATATGAGTGCAATGTACAACCGTACCTTCAATTGATTAACCAAAAGCTTTGTTTCTTCAGTTATGGGGTCTATTTGCTCTTCCGCAGACTTGTCGTTCAAGGGTTCGGCATAGTTTATAGGCCCTATACCACATACTAAACCACACATATCAGCATAAATCCTATAAAAGTAACTGGAGCATAATTCATTCTATCCATCGTGACAATGGCAGATGTGGGCATACAGGAAAGTGGGGGGATGAAGAGGGAGCAGCTTAGAGACGAAAGGAAATTAGATATTGATAAAGATATGGGACAGAGCTATTTCGCCCACTCAGGGAGCAGACATGAGCACGCGCTAACCTTATCCGGTACGGCGATGCGAAATAATATGACGAAAATAGAACCAGAGCTCCAGCATCGTTTCTGTACTCCTCATTCGGAATGGTAATTCAGGTGGCTTTCACTTAGAGTTCTATCGTGGACCCACAAGAGGCGAAAATATATTTTTGCGGACACAATTATAATGCTCTTCCCTCTACCTTGTTGATTATGACTTCCTAATAGCCCTAAGCAAATTTGGAGAGGTACCTCCAGCATGCCTACGAATGAAAGCAGCAAAGAGGCATCGCTCGGAGAATTATCACGCGTTGGAAGGGCACAAAACGAGTGCGTTACAATGTATCGACCAAGCAAACAGCGAGAAGCGACTCCTCCTCACAAACAACAAGAGTATATCACTCATGATGGACTCTTATTCGAGGAGATGCATATGGGAATTGCCGTTGTCGATATCGCTAAATGGAGACTAGTGGTCGACGGAATGGTGGAAAACCCACTCTCGATTTCTCTCCCTGAGTTATGTGCATTTCCCAAGTTGTCCATTGTTGCATTTCACGAATGCTACGGAAGCCCACTACGCCCATCAGATAGGAACATCTGGCGTGTTGGAAATGTCACCTGGACCGGAGTTCCACTCAAATTTCTTCTGAATATCGCTCAGCCTTTGGACTCCGCGCGATATATGTGGTCCGAAGGGCTTGATCATGGTGCATTCGCTGGGAAGAAGATAACTTGTTATCAGAAGGACGTTCCATTAGAAAAAGCAATGAGCGATGAAGTTCTTGTGGCCTATGAGATGAACTCCGAACCACTTAGGAGGGAACGAGGTGGACCAGTGAGGCTCGTAGTGCCCGGCTGGTTCGGGACCAATAGCACCAAATGGCTCTGGCGGCTGTCCTTTCAAGCCCAGCGTGCACCTGGAATATTCGCAAGCCATTACTACAACAGACCTAATCCACAGGGAGAAATCCAACCCGTATGGGACGTGGAACCTAACTCAATGATCATCGACCCTTCACCAAATGCTAAAGTAGTTGGTCCAAGAGTTATGATTCGTGGCTGGGCGTGGAGTTGGGATGGTATCAAAGCTGTTCAGATACGCCAATCCAACGAATCAGAGTGGCAGCAGGCGGAGACGAAGCCACGCCAAGACTTCAGCTGGCAAGCATTTCGCCAAATCATTGTGTTACCGAAAGGTCGTTGCTCAGTTGTTGCTCGGGCTATCTCAATAAGTGGCAAAATGCAACCCATGGAAAACCAACGAAATTGCGCGCATAACATCGACTTCGAGGTTATTGTCGAAAGTGAAGGTCGAATACATCAAATAACAGATAGCTTATAATGTAACGTGACCGGTCCTTTCCAGTTGAGCCGCGCTCTTTGGCCGCGACAAATCTGCGATTTGGTTAGGAAGTGCACCGAGCCTCAAATCCACCCCTCCCATGGGATAGGAAGAAGAAGAAGCGAAAGCTAGGAGGGGGGCTTTTATATGTCAATTAAAAGTGAGAGATAACTAAGATACACTTTTGAACCGTGCAAAAAAGAAATGGAGATATCTCCAGTTATATAGAGATCAAACCCTTCACTTTTGACAGTTACGATCCTCCAAAAAAATGAAGATATCGTGATTTGTATAGAGATCAAAAGCTTCATTTTTGACAGTTATAAAAGCTAACAGAATTAGGGGACTTTGATTATTAAGGCATTTTTAATAGTATTTCAGGTAGTTATCTTAGTTTTTGGCTGTTTTAAACTGAGGCATTTAGGCATTAAATCCCCCCCTAACACGTGGTTTCGAACCCTGATATATAGCTATAAGTCTTCGTAGTCTACCACAGATAGGATATCAAATTTCTTCAGGCGAGGAAGCCGATCCCGGAAATTCTTAATTTCGCCCGAACACACCTCGGCCTGGTCAAGAAATGAGATGTTCTCGACATCTGGAAAGCGGACCTCCACCGGATGTTAGTTCGTAGATTTGTATTCAAAAGGTTTGGCGAACTCACCGTGACGATATCAAAGAGCTGCTTCCATTCATCTTGACCGACGCCATACGTCTCTGGGTCGTACCCATAGTAAGGGTCGAACGAAAGAGTTATCAATCTTGGGGCGTGAAAGATCGGAATCTCTACCCTGTCGTCTCGTGGGGTGGGCTCTCCAGCCACAAGGAGCGTGAGACTCTCGAGATTTGAAAAGCATAAGCCATCGAATACCCCTGTGACCGACTGATGCAGCTCCTCTCTTTCAACGGCGTACACTTCAACATGATGAATCAATTCAGCATAGAATTGTCGGCGAGCTGGCTCAATCTTCTCGAACATCGTCACAAAAGGATAATGCCAAAACTCAAATTGCTTCCATTCACGCCAGAGGACTCGCGCCGCTTCGTAATGCCACTGTCTGCTCACCTGAGCGCAGCGTACTAGCACGCCCTTCGCACCAAAGTAGTGCTGATGATCGTCCTCCGAATAATGCGGGTTCTCCTCTCGAAGGTTTCGCAGTCGTTCGGGATCTGGCCACCATCCCTCATCCCTAGAAATCCACTTCAGGATGAGTTCGAGGATCAGAGGGTTCTTAAGGGCTCGGTAGATAGCCGAGGCCCCGTTGTTGATTTCCTGGTTCGCCATGATTTCAGGGTTCAACCAATCGCTTCCGACTGGATGCGCTGGATCCTGCACGTGCGAGTCTCGGGTTTGCATTGATGGATCCTTGTTTTTTATATTCGAGTAGCAGAAATGTGGAAGAGGAAGTTGTAGTTCTTCGACGAAACTACTCCCTGAACTGGTGTTGAAGGGTCTCGGCATCAGCCGACGAGATGAGTCACTCAGCAAATTGCGCCGGGAAAATTTGAATGAACTGTAAACTAGCACCGTCCTATAAGCAGCCAATCCCCCAAGAGAACCATTGCACTCTCCAAAGGAAGCCCCCACTGGTGATTGAATGTGAACCGATGGCATTCTAGTCTCTTCCTCCGGAGATCTATGCTCGAATCGTTTTTCATGTTTCCTCAATCCGCGATCTGGCTGCCTTGTCGCACTCATGTCGAGTTCTACACTCCTGTGCGACATGAACGCGCGCAAGAGAATTTCACCGGATACAGATCTATCCCAATGATACTAGCATCAACAAGGCCTTTGATCTGCTGATGGGAGTCTTCCAGAACCGCCGTCTAGCGTATTATATGCACCAGATCAAGCAGTACTAGAGGTCCAATCGCCGTGTGATATTCAATTTAATACTAAACTCCTGGTAAGTCATGATTTTTGCTTGTCTAACTGTTGCATAATATATTGGCGGAATATAGTGTCATAATACAATGAACAAGTGATCCCGCTTTTTCCAGGCTCAAATAATACAAAGTTAACCCGGCAGTTTGTTATCTGTTATTTGGGTGAAGAGTTCTTCATCCGTCTTGTCTCAAAAAAAGACTCGATATGTCAACCCAGACCCGGGTTTTGCGGAAGACCATGCCCACCCGCCTGTCCATGGGCAATGTCGCAGTCTACGTAGCACCATATCGCAGCACCAAGGTTTCCCAGGTGCTGCGGGACTTTTGAAGGCCAAATTAGTGCTCTAGGAAGTTGTATAAAGATTAAGGGTATAATAGGTGAAGGAACTAAGGATAGGTTAAAATCCGGCACGTAGGGTAGCCCCTACTTTTCTATGGCTAACTACTATATCCACCGAATACCAATAAGTAACATATTATTAAGTGCATCGAGCCTCAAACCCACACCTCCCATAGGATAGAGTTAGGAACTCATCTCTACCACCCATTCCCGCATAGGCAGTACCACTCCAATTTCCATCTACTCATCATCGCGGATATCGACGACCGTGTTCTTCCATTTGCGAGCGGGGACATGACGATGAAACAGAATGTCGATCTCACGGAAGGATCTGTGCTTCATCTCTGGAACCCACATCCAAGCCATGGCGGTGCAGATAAAGGCGGTACCAGCCCAGACGTAGCCGCTCTTACCGCCCAGGTCCCACTTATCAGCGTTGAGCATGTAGCTGGAAAGGAAGATGCAAGGAATATTGACCAAGTAGTAGGCACCTCGTCCAATACCGGTTGTCAGTGGCCTGAGACGAACGGAAGATGTCTCGCCGATGATGACCCATGAGGCAGGCGCGGGTCCCAAGCAGAACAGGACGGAGACGATCAAGCCAAGTGATGCTTGCGCATTGCTAGACGCAGTACTAATGCCAAATGAACCCGCAATACCGAGCGCGACCAAGAATCCACAGTTAATGAATTGACCATAGACATAGATGGTGCGACGGCCGAGGTATGTGGTGAGGACCCAAGAGAGCATGACCATGATCCACTGGAGGGCAGAAGTGATGAGACCAAGTGCAAATGCCGTGTTGTCTGCCATGCCGGCCTCTAAGCTGGTGTTAGTCTGCTATGGGCTTGGAGAAAATGGCTGGACTCACGTTTGAAAAAGTAAACTGCTTGGTTAGCAATCAGATTGCCCGTCAGATTCTGAGATGCGTACACACCGCACACAATCAATGTGCGGTAGCGATCGGTACCTTTCCACAGTTCAATGAGACTTGGCTTCTTGTCAGTCTTCTCGAGTTCGATCGTGCGACGCATCATTGCGACTGCGTCAGCGGGATTATCATTTGCACTCGCGCGTCCCAGGCGTTTGACAGCCTTCTCTGCCTCAGCCAAACGGCCCTGTCGTACGAGCCACCAGGGCGATTCAGGTGCGATGAAAAGTAGGATAGCGAGAGGAGTAGGGAAAAGCCACTGGAGTGCAATGGGAACTCTGGAATGACTGTTAGTACGGTGCTCCTCGATGGTATCTATGGGGGCGGACGAACCTGTACGATGACGAATCAGGCTTGGATTGGTAGTGGTAAGTGATACCGCCGACTATGATCGCCCCAATCGCCCAGAACATCTGCAACATCTGCGTCGCTGGAGCTCTCAGTCTCATTGGCACAATTTCGGCACAGTAGGCGGGTGCATTGGCGATAAAAATGCCCCACGGGATGCCTTCCAAGATCTGGGACGCGAAAAACATCCCCTGGCTGTTGCCGAAATAGAAGATGAAGATGAAGCCGTTCAAGAACATGAGACCGCCAATTGTTGCCCATCGATATCCAATCCTACTGGTAATAGGACCTGCGATGAATACACCGATGAAGGCACCGATTGGCCCGCTACACTGGAATGCTGACTGCCATGAAGCTTCGATAAGCCACTCTCCTGTTTTTTCGCTTTTTACCCCAAAGTCCTCCGCAAATTTAGCTGTGGCTATGAACTGCCCCATTAAGAAAACACAGTATGACTCCATGATCTATCGCAATGTTAGAGAAATGATCTGCCTATCATGGGCAAGAGCTTACAATGGTGCATGACATCACGAATGCCCACCAGCTGGCAGCGGGATAGGCCTTCACAGCTTGGAGCACAGTCATACTATGTTCGAGCTCCTCGGCTTCGATGGCCCCCGCTCTGTCGTAGTCGACCTTCTCGTCAACATCGTAAACAGGTCCGCCCGTGGAGGGCTGCGCCTCGACCTCCGCTGAGGTCTGCTTCTCTGTGATGTCGCTATTCATGTTGACGAATCCTGAGAGAAACGGGTGGATGAAAGAGAGGCAGGCACGACTGGGGGTTTCAGATCTTTATACCTACGGCAACACGCTCGTGATGGCGATCCCGATTTTATCTTAATTGAGTGAAGCTTGCTCCGGACCTTGACCTCAACCCCACATCTAGAGTCACTTTTCCGGGCACTACGGTAGCAGCGTCCCTTTATTGTGGTGTGTTATGGTGGGCTCCCGTCGAGCGAAAGGGTACTAGTCGGGAGGAAATGTAGTTTCTTTGCGGGGTCCGCTGAAACGGCAATTTGGTGGTAGGCTGTGGTAGGTCGCGGTGGTGTGGGTCTAGATGTGGCGTTCCATTCGCCGGAGAATTTCCTGCTATGGGTTGTAGGGGATAGTCCAGAATCTCCATCCTTTAGTGCGAGTCCCTGTGCCCCCGTATTGTTGTGCAGTCTACAATCCGACCTTGCTGAATCCCTGTCAGGGTGGTTCAATTCTGCTGAACCTATCATAATGAGTAGGCAAATTGAGTAAGCGCTAATTATTAGTTAGTGCTGTGCTTTGACTCTGGGCACCACGTGCAAATGTTCAGCAAACGTGACCCATTCAGAATGTCTTCGAATGCTGTCCTCCGAACATGAAGTCGGATGTTCATGATGATTGATCTCTCTATCTCTGTAGAATACCATGCTCAGTGGGGGGGCAATTGGACGTGCAGGACCCAAGATAAATATTATCGGTGTTTAAAGAACCTGACCAATCCCAAAGTGGGACACGGCTCAGTGTCATCTCATTAGCGGGCTGTGGGCTCGGCCAGCTTTACCCCGGACGGGTCACTACCCCCGCGCCATGACCCCGGACGGATCCTGAATCTCCTCCAATGGAGAAAAAGAGAAATACCGAAATGCCGAAATTGGATTAGTACAAATATGAAATTGCATGAAAAGTGTTACGTGCCAGTTCGATCAGCAAGAAAGAGTGCATTCCAACTAAGCAAACAGAGATAGGGAGGAGAGAAGAAGCAAGTGGTATATCCCAGGGGATCTTATAGCAGAAGCTATCCCAGCAAGCAAAAAAGCTCTTTCCCGAATAGGAAATATGCTATTACCTGATTCGGAATAGTAACAAACTAAGAACAAATAATAAAGCAAAGAAAGAAAGCATAGGACGCATGTGATCACATAGGTCGTGACAAAAAGGAGCAGTACAGTGTGTGTAGTTCATTTACCGTGGCTCCTCGTCGAAGTTGAGACCCTGGAGTGCTGTAGATCAGCCCATCTACTCATCTTCCCCAACATCCATCAAGCTCCCAAGGTTTGAGCTAACTAGTTTTTTATCATACTGTAAACCTCAAGTTATCTTGGATCCATTACTCACTAATGCTGGATCAAAGCCCAGGTAGAGCGGATTGAATGCCTCTTTGCCGAACCGGTTGTGTTCCGAATTAGTAGTGTTCGAGTTGGCCTACGTTAGCAGTGATATGATCTTCGCTAGAAAAGTCCCTGTAGGACTAGCTGACATGGTAGCCACGCGATCGCGTTGTTCAAAATTAAGCTTTTGCACTCTTGAGGGCATATGGCCTATTTTGACTTGGGATCATGAATCTCAACTGCACCGCACTAATCACAATAATAAAGGTTCAATGACGCAATTTCCACGGCTAGCCCCCCTTTCCACGCGATTTGCTCCAGAAGCATTTGTGTACTAACTGTGTGCATGTGTCTAATCTACGAATTTACTCAAGTATACACTTATGGGCCTTAGGGTCTCTTTCTTGTCTTCTGAACACTCATTATCAGGCAAGTAGGCCTTCACTGTGATTAACGTGTCCCAATTTGGTCGGTCCTATCCTGTCAATGTCCTCTTCTGTGCCGCTGAGGGCCATGGAACATGGCACACTGGGTCAGCCTACCCAGAAGAGAAAAAGTCAAGTTTCTGTGGCTGGCGAGCTCTATGGGCAATGGATTGGGGAATATCATTTGCTTACGACACCGAACTGGCTGTTATGCCATCCAAATGCCATGCCTCAGATCACGGTCACACTGACTTGTCGGTCAACGTCTACAAAGCCGAGATGGAACCCTCTGTCATGTATCCGGGGGGAGATATATGAGCATCCCGTTATCAAGAAGGAAGCTTT